CCGGCTGCGATTCTTAATGGAACATAACCCCATTTTTGCCGTGATCATCACGGCGATATCAAAATCAAAATTTCGAAGGTTCAGTGAGATGTTGTATGTCTGCTGTATGTTTTGTGGATGTAACCATCTCCTTGGAATCCGTCCCCTCTTATGTTCTCCCTAAACATTCTCAAGGTTAAATTCCTTCACTTTGAATTATGAAGCTTCTCCCAGGCAAAATACTTCTGGGCTGCTTAATGGCCCGCAATGGGACACTCCGCGATGCCACGACACCGCAAATTCCAGTAGCAAGTGATGTGATGAAGTGTGCAGATTTGGAAATGCTGCAGTGTGTCGAGTCAGCTAGAAGGGGATCATAAGGTTGGCCCATACGTAGGGGCGTTTCATTCGGAGTCGGAACTTCGCGCGATGAATGGAATGGTTTCTTCGATTTTCCATATGGTTTGATACAATTTTCGTTGAGGCGGAGGTGGTGCAGTGACAAGTGGCGCGCTTACCACTCGCGCGGTCCTGGGTTCGAATCCCAGGTCGACACCCGCCCAGGCCAACCAAGCCTTCTACCCTCCGGGGACGGTGAATTGGTACCAGATTCGTCTGGGAGGATAAAACACTGACTTGTACATCGGCTGGCCACCGCAAGTCATTGTATAGGCCACATCGCATTCAATAAGCCACTACGATTCTGAATGGAAGTAGAATGCGTGCCGCATCCCACAAAGGGATTGATTAACGGCGAAGACTTTATCCTTCATCCTTTTTGATCTTCGCTGAAACAGCATGCTCGGCGTTGCTGGATTAATACGCTCAATCGAAGGTTATTTATGTAGGGTATCAGCTGGACAGATATGTGTATTTTAGTTATATCTTTTCAGTGCATAAAGGCAGTGAGCAGAATAAGCAAAACTAGGCGTATAGGGTAAACCCCACTAACACGAACGTGATACTAACGTGAATACTGGTGCGTAGTGTTGAATGCTTAACTTGCCAACTCTCGCAAAAACTTGAACGTCCCCAAGCGGCCGTACAGGCCAGGAATTGATCAGGAATGGATCAGCTCTTTTGACTAACACCACAAGCTCTCCAGGTTTTCTAGTGACAAGGTACAGTCTTGCGGTACGGTCCTCTTTGTTACGGTAAAGCGTATTTGGTAGCTTTATTCCTTTGCTTGTTTTAGCTTCTTTCTAGCTTTCTAATTATCGATCACCGAATATTCGACCGACGCTCTAACACTGTGTAACTAGTGTGCCTGTTTCTCTTGAGGACAATTTTCGATAATGACTGAAGGACCGCCGCCGTTCAAAATTCTCAAAATTCAGGGTTACTCTACAAATGCAGCGATTTTCCCCACACTGATCGCTGATCATATAACCAATCTTAGACGCAGACTCGTTCATTTCCTCATAAAAGCTTTAGTAAGGACCATATGTCGACCGTACTTAGCCTTCCCCTTTTTCCTTGAATTCCGCGCTACTCCACTTCTGCGGGAAAACCAAATCAGTGTGCTGGCTGCTCTAATCGAGGTGCTGATAACTCGGAAGCTGCCAGGAGCTTTTCCTTTTTTCACGTCATCGGCATTTTCTACCCGGTGGTTTTGCTGGGAGTCCAGTCTTTGTGTAATCAGTGATAGCGAAGCCCTAACCATCCTTGCAAGAACTCACTAAGAACTCGGGAAGCGAACTGCTTTGGGACGATGCGGCTGTTTCTGAAAACACTCTTTTTGGCTCAGTTAGCATAGCTGGCCATGTTTCTCCTTCATTTGAACTCACCCTTCGACTTTCCTTTGATCAGCGATGTTCTTCTCGATTTGAATTAGGGACCCCAGTTTACCTTTAGCCTCTGCCACCTCTCCCAACTAAAGGTATTGCTTTAACATTGTCCTATTTCAACAATGTGTTTGCAGCTATGTACATATGCGGAATTTCTTTGCTTGATCTTAAGAGCATGAAAATAACAAAACACGCCCTTACATCGTAACCGTCACCAGACCCTTTGAATTAATGATTCAATTTTTCGAATTTTGCTTAACAATTCCGTTGAAGCGATTTGGGTTGCGGTAATAGAAGAGACAGCTGGACTGCATTATAACATTGCCAATAAATTCCTTCTGGGAAACATTCAGGTCATTATATGGTTTGGACCAGAGGAAATCACCATGGCGTTCTATATGGATTTCGATAGGAATGCAATTTATAGTAGGCGTTCAAACGTCGATCTATTATATGTCAATGTGGCCGTATCTTAGCAACGTGAGTAATTGCTTCAGTTCCAGAGACTACCAAAAGGTGGTTTCTTCATTAAGAGCCAAATTCGTCTTTCGCTGTATGGAGAACCCCGGCATCTTTAAGAAAAGTGGGGCAAATGCGCAGAAAAGCTATTCCATAGCAAAGAAACATTAGTTGCCTGATGGACAAAAGGTGCAATACTTAAGTTATCGTATGAGAGCAGTCTGAGTGCCTAGTAACTGCTGCGCTCAAAAAGAAAACTGATATGAGGAACTGAGCGCAAGAGAAAAGGGGAGTTCACACAAGAAGGAAAAACGCTACGGGTGCGTCTGTAAATGTGCTTGAAATGGGGACCCGTAGGGCTGGGAATATCGTCGACTGTCCTCATTTTGGCTATAACACCACTGCTGGAACTAGCTATCAAATCACATCGATATGCATACATGATGTTATACAGGGCATTTTGAACGATATTTTAGCAGTGTATGCGATGAACTGACTTTATTTTTCGGATCATCTCTTCCACTCTGACCAGCGTGAGGAAAGAGGTCGTACAACAGAAATATGCTGTGGAGCCCAGCATACCAGAATTCGACGTAATAAGAGAATAAAAGGAATATTTGTCTATCAATAAACGGACTTTGACGAAGTAATGTCTTTTATTGTGAAACAGACAAACTACTAAAGTGTTGCACCGAGAGGAAATGTTGTCCAGATTACCGGGAGAGAGAAAAATCATGTTGATAGTGAAATAAAGAAAGTGTGAAGAGAGGCGAAGCACAGAACATGAATAAAGGCGAACTTAAGGATATCGATTACAAAATGACTCATGGAAGCTGACCCAACGTTGAGCTCGATAAAGCACGTTCCTCGACTCAAGATGGCAAGTCTGCGAGATGCCGAGGCCAAGGAAAACATCTAATACAAGACATCGTCCGCAAAAACGGCAAGACACGAGAAATGCGTGGGATGTATATCGAAATCAACTAAATCGAT